TAAAAACATTATGTAAGCCCCCCTTTAGGAATGTGGTGTGATGTTTGTGTATATTGACACATGTGTGTGGGTGACCATGCATGTGGAGGTTGATGTTGGGAATCATTCTTGACAGCTCTTCTACCTTATTGAGGCAAGGTCTTGCAAATGAACCCAGAGCTTGTTAATAGGCTAGTCTTGCTAACCAGCTTGTTCTGGGGATCACCTGCACTCTGCCTTCTTTGGTTGAAATTACAGGTAGGCCACCACAGCCATCCAGCATTTACATGGGTTCTGGAGATCTGAACTCTGGTCCTCATAATTGCTGGCAAGTGCTTTAACCACAGTTAAAACTCCCCCAGGGAGTGACAATATCTACTTCTCTGCATGTCAATGGCTAGCACAGGACCTGGTAGAGAGAAGTTACTTAACTTGTTATAATTGCTGAATGTGGCCAGTGACTGATGTTTATGGAAAAAGACAGGGTGCCTTAAAGACTGTCACCTGAAAAAGCATGTCTCTTGGTAACATGAATTGGTGACTCCAAGACTTTGCTATAGTCCTTGGGCACTACATCCCAGTTGTTCATCCTTGCCTCCTACCACTTGCCCAGATGTCTGGCCAAAGCTGCTTTATCTACCACATCTTGTGTTTTGGAGCCTATCTCCAAATCTCCTTGGCCTTGGTCTAAAAATGTTACTTCATTCTTTGGGACCTTAGGGTTCTTCTGTGACATGAGGACAATGGCCTGCCTTACAGTGCCAAGGAAACCAAGCAGTTCATGGAGAAGGGGGAAAAGCTGGGTGGCTGGTGCATTTGGGTTTTTTTGTTTTTTGGGTTTTTCGAGACAGGGTTTCTCTGTGTAGCTTTGGAGCCTATCCTGGCACTCGCTCTGGAGACCAGCCTGGCTTCAAACTCACAGAGATCCGCCTGCCTCAGCCTCCTGAGTGCTGGGATTAAAGGCATGTGCCACCAACGCCCATCGGTTGGTGCATTTGGAATGTGGGACCCCAGAATGCAGGAGTCATGAGTAAAATGGATGTCACTGGTCATAAGGACAGGCAGAGGCTTGGTACCTTCTCACCCTTCCTGCAAGGTCAGGTGCTCGGACAGCTTCAAAGAACCTTCCCTAATCTGGCTTATGGGTGGGATTAGTGTCTCTCCTGCCACACCTTCTCTCAAGCATTTGTCATAATGAATTATAAGATGGATTAGCAGACTATTAGGCTACTGAAGTGTAGGGGTGTGTCTCTGCCATCTCTTTTCTACTAATGCATGCTTAGCATTCAGGAGACCTCCATGATCAGAGCGATGCAAACCCAGTGGAACTAAGGTTGCTTGTTCCTCTTTCTCTGGCTTCCCAGTTTTCTAAGGGGTCTTGCTGTCAGATACTCCCTGGTGGTTCCAAAGGTCTGAGCAGCAGCAGCTTGCCCTGGTCTTTCTTGCTAGCATGGCACAAGCCAGGGTTTCTAAAAGGCTGGGAGTTCAGTAGACAAAGAAAATCACTAGCTACATTAAAATAAGCAGATCTCTCAAGGTGGAAAAACAACAACAGAAAACCCCACCCCACAAGCAAACACAGCTGGATCTTTGAATGTTGGGTACCAGCATAGCTTGGGAAGGCTTTTCTGCCATTTGCAGAGGCTCACAAAGTAGCTACTTGAACCTAACTCCTCAGAGACATTTTTTCCCATAACCAAGGACCACCTCCATACTGACCCATGTCCTCATTGGTTTCCACACCTGGGATTTCCCCAAGCCAAAATTGTGTTTTCAATGCATCCCCTAATTAGGCTCCTCTTTCCCTGAAGATCAGGTATGGAACAGAAGAGTCCCTTGCATGGCCAAGTCACAGCAGCTCCCTTGTTCCTATTTGTTTTTTGAAAGCAAAAATAATAGCATCATATAAGATTATTCTGAGGATTAAATGAAATAAAACCCCAAATCCCTGGCATCCAGATGGATTGCCTTCCCTCCAAGGCCATGGGATCTCATGGGTCTAACCCAGCCTCAGACACTGACACTCCCTGGAAACATGGGAAACTCTCTCCCTCAGGGTGAACAGGGAGGAGGATCTCATCTGATTGCCAAGTAAATATGCTCACCAGCTGGATGAGCAAGAGGCAGGGCCAGGCAGTGGTCAGGATGTGATGTATCTGAGTGTACAGTAGAGATCTTGGTCTTTCTATAACTATACAAGTGACCTTTAGGCAAACTTTTTGTTCTGTGCCTCAGTTTCTTTACCCGTAAAAGAGGGTGCTGTACACACCAAGCCTCAACCCCTACCAAGATTCACAGACTACTCAGCTCCATCCAATCAAACTTCTTTGCACTGAAGCAAAAGCAACCTCTCACTTCCCGTTCAGCAGTCTCTGAGAGACTGTCCATCCGGGTTATTTCTCACTCTCCCCCTCTCCAAGCCTTCGACCCACCTCCCACAGGAGCCTTCCAAGTACAGCCCCCAAACTCCTTCTTTTTTCCTTCTAGCACAGCCTGGGCATTTAAGCAAATGCTGGAAGGACAAAGTCCACAGCTTGGATCTTTATGGCTAGTGCCTGGCACACAGCAGACATCCTGTAAATAAGTACCAGGTCAGTCTGCAACCTCAAAAGATTCTGCTGATGATTTATTACAAGAGTAAAGGAAATCCCACAATACTGGACAGACCTGTCATAGAAGTTGCAGTAGAGCAGGGAGGGCCTCATCTCTGCCTTTTTCTAACAGGGGTACATGATGGATACCATAACTTGCCACCATATTAGATCCATTCAAGCACCTTGCAGCATCCCAGCACACCATGATAAATGACAGCAGGGAGGCACACTGGTTCAGAGCAAGGGCTTTGGTGTATGGATTCCAGCTCAGCCGTTTATTAAGTTAGGCAAGTAACTTAACTGTCCTGCATCTTGACTTCTTTTTCTTCAAAGATAAAAAACAAAACAAAACAAAAAACATCTGTCTCACCTAGGGGTCATAAAAAACAAGGGGCCATAGCATGAGATGGCTTAGGAGGAAAACGCATTTGCTGCCACATCTGACAACCTAAGTGCTACCCTTGCTCTGTGCCTCAGTTTCCTTACTGTAAAAGAAGGTGCTGTGCACAAGCCTTCTAAGCCCCAGAGTCCTCAGCTCCCAACACTCAAACTTCTTTGCATTTGGAGCCAAAGAAACTTCTCACTTCCTGCTCAGTAGTCTCTAACGAAGAGACTGCCCATCCCAGGTTTTTTCTCTCTCTACCATTCCAAACCCACAACTAACCTCCCACAGAGAGGAAGGAGAGAAAAATTCCTGCAAGTTATTCTCTGACCTACACACCTATTCTCTGATCGGGCGCGCGCGCATGCGCGCGCGCGCGCGCGCGCGCACACACACACACACACACACACACACACAGTAAAATTTTTAAGCAAATAAGAAAGTCATTAACAGAGTGGGTGACATGTCATAAGCACTAAGTAAATCAAGGTTTAGTGAGTATTACAGAATATGACATCATGAGTCTTGACCCTTGACCCCCAGCTACAGTCTGCTGCCCATTACCGACACCTACTTCCTTTTCCTCCTTTTTTGTATCCAGCCTTGCCTTTTTCTTCAGCTGAGTGTAGTGTACAAAGAAAGCCTAGTTAGACAAGAAACAATTCTAGAAGGAAGGTGGAAGTCTGGGCAGTGAAGAGGCAACTACTTACTCCTCCTCCAGCAACTTACCTAGCCCACAGCCTAGGTCATACCTCCCAGGAAGAGCCTTTCACTGCTGCTCTTCTAGCATCTTTTGTCCTGTTTGGCCTTCAGGAAAAAAGTTGCCTCTCATTACATTTATGAAGTTTAATCGAACAGTGAACCCAAGCCTCTGGACACTGAGGCTATTGGTGTGGCTTAATAAATCCCATGGGAGGGCTGACTAGACGGCTCATGGGTGAAAGGGCTTGCCACCAAGCATGGCTATCTGAATCCAACTTCTAGAACCCACATGGTAGAAGGAGAGAACCAACTCCCCTATGTTCCATGAAATTCCTATGTGCCAGGATAACCCAAACACAATAAACACATGATAAAAGTATATCACTTCTCTGTGTTTGGCAAGTAAAAAATATAGGCTGTCCCATTAAATCTGAATTCAGGTAAACAAAAAGTCACTTTCAGCATCAATGTATCCCATGCAGTATTGGGGATAAACTGATACTGTAGAACTAATTGAAATTCAGATTTAATGCAATAGCCCACATTTTATCTGGAAATCACCCCAAGTACCCAAGGGCACAGAGGAAAAGACTAGTCTTTCACCTACCCCACAGCTAGCTGTCTAACTGGAATGCTAACCAGGCTCCTTGGAAACATCTTTTAACACCCAAGCGGAGCAGATGGACTAAATGGGAGCCTCTTCCTGAGCGGCTGAGTCCAGTGTCTGCCTTGTGGGAGAATGGAGCACTGGGCCAAGCCACAGCTAGAGCTCAAAATAGCTTCCCTCATCCATTCGATCCTGCCTGGGCTCTAGTACCAAGCCCAGGAAAGGGCATGATTATGAGAATGGGGTCGTTGTGGGGAGAGGGGTTTCCAAGAAAAGTTCACTTGGCGTGGAGGGTAAGGGAGGTCACCACCAACCACTCACTTTGTGAGGTTGTGAAGATCAAATAGGAAAATGGCCAAGGACACACCTTGTAAATAAATCCCTTGGCTCAGGTCATGATCAAGCCCATTGAGAGACTAGTTTAGCACAGGGACTTGCGGCCTCCACACTGCCCAAGAAAGAAAGACGTGACAGAGTTATATCAACACAATGCCGGTGCCTCCGGACACAGTATAAGAATGACTAACATCCGTCCAGTGCTTTGTGATTTGCAAATAGCGTTCATATCCATCTTTCAAAGGTCTCTCATCACAGCTCCACGAGGTGAGGATGAGCTGGGGACCCATTTCCCAGGATGGTGAGAGTGGCCTGGGAAGTGAGACCAGGTGGGGGTGAGGGTGGGGATGGGTGGGGTGTGGGAGGGTTCCACTGGTGCAGGATTAGGGCCAAGGCCTACCTTCTGGGCCTGCTGGATCATCTGTCTGACCACCTGTTTCAGGTGCGGTGCCTTCTCTTCTTTGGGCGGGTGGGTGAAGAGCGTGACACGGCTTACCCCGCGGTAGAAGCCGGAGT